TCATTTGTTTGGTTTTATTATTTCCCTTCTTTTTTTTTTTTCTTTTTCAACTTTTATGAATTGCTTAAAAGTTGTGAAGGGATTTCGTATATTGTTTTTTTATTCCATATATACTGACCAGAAACACCATTTACTAATATCCCATAACTGTCTCTACACTTCTCTTACCTCACAGTCGGTGATAGCAGCAGATAAATATCGACAAATCAGGCAAAAAAAAATTGAAATAGAATTTCGATTAGAGAGATATAAACAGCATAGAGCCATTGATTGTCATTCAATGTTCTTAGAATAGCTGTTTTAGTGATAAGTTTGGTTAATGTTGGTTGTTGGGTACTGACGGAAAATAGTGAAGGTTACCGGAAAACTATGTTGCCATCAATATTCTAAAGTCCTCCTCTCTTACTTTCACTCTTACTTTTTCATTTATTTGTGGGTAATTTTGAAATAATTTTCACTTTTCATCTGTGATTATTCATCAAGTTTTAGAAGTTATTCCACCACCGAAAGACCTGCCAGACTTTCTAAAGAAGGAAAAAACAAATCCAGTTATTCTGCCAGCCCCACCACAACTTCATCCGCTTCCGTTACAGCAACCAAAAATAGTTGTTGCACCACCAACTCCATGTACTGCCATAAGTCCAACTGAGTCGTCTAGTTCACATTTTCCATTACCAGGAAACAAACCGGCTGTATCCGATTCTGCTGGAGTTTCAACTGTTGAGGAACCGTCCATGGTCAGTGTTAACCATACGGATTTCAGATACTAGTGAGATACCCTGTTATGGTTGTTAGTACAATTTAATCATACTGTTTAATATTTCATATCTGTTGTTCACCTAAAAAACTTTCTTTCTTCCATGGAGTTTGTTCGCTGCATATATTTGCCATTAGTAGTTGTTAAGCTTATCGATTTAAAAAATGGTGTTATTCTTGTTGCTAGAAAGTTTATTCATCGTCTAGGACAATGCATCTGCGAAAATTGCTGTAGTGGAACAAAAAACAGTATCAATCAGTTTGTCGGATGCTGAACATCAGTTGGAGAAGTTAGAGAATGCAGAGGAAGAATCTGGTGTTTTAGGATGGTTGCAGAAACGTGTTAATAACTCTAGCTTTTTGTCGAAAGTGGCAGATAAAGCTAAGGTTTGTCAGAGTAGTTTATAAAGTCATAATGTTTACTCATTAAATTCCTGCAGCCTTCTTGAAGGCATTGTCTTCAAAATGTTTCATCATTTTATACAGCTTAATAGAAATATGACTTTCATAGTTTCACCTTGTTGCAAAGTCATGCCATAATACAGAACTATGGATTTTCTTTTTCAGACCAGTATGGACTCTGTGTTGACCACACTTGATCCAGGAATGAAAGATTTTTTGAAACGGGAAGGAAGTATTGATATTGTAATTGCATCTGACAATATGCGAGTTGTTACAGCGATTGCTGATGGATTTAGAAAAGTTTTTACCACAGTAACACATAGAGGTATGGGTACACCAGGAGCTACTCATCTGCACTCACAAATTGTAGGATATTCAATGGCTCTAAAGGTAACGGTTGCGAACTCTTGGTAAACTTGAAGTTGCATCGAAAGCTTCATATATGATTGTCCATCTGCCTATCAATAATATCTCCTTACCTCCTCCTTTTTTGTCATTCAGATGTGTTTCATTCTTGAAGCTTCTTTTATGACTTAACAACGCTGCTAATTATGCTAATTTTGGTAAAAATATTACAGTACATGAATGAACGTATTACATTGTTACGGGCAAGTGGTCTTGCAACTCCGAAGTCTGCAGTAGTGGTTTTTCAGCCCTTCCTACACGAAATAGAAGGTGAATGGTATGATTCTGCGGTTATCGGAGTTCAGGTCTCACATTTTAAGCGACTTATATTTTCATTACTTATTTTTCTACCACTTTTTACTATTTCAAAGAGAAAGTTTATTTTACGTAGGCGCTGTGTAGAAATTTTAGTCTTAAAATTAAGGATCCTCTGTAAATGGTAGCCGCGCATCGAAGTTTTATACAGTTTAACAAGAACTCGTTTGTTATATGTGTTTTGACTTTTTTTTAAAGGCGTCCCTGTGTGACTGCTGTTTGAGGATTTGATATGTATGGTGTAAGAGTTCTAAAAGTTTATCTTGTACAAGGGGACCAGTTTTTTGACCATCAGCTTATTTTTTTAAGAATGAGGAAACGTTTAGGCAGTCAGCCAGCCTTCCGTAATTTTTTTTTATTTCTCTTTTTCAACAAAACTACAACTGCCTTCAAGATGAAAGTGAAGAGTGACATCTTACAAACAGAAGCCTTTTCGTAGGGGATGAATCAGAGATTGTTGAAAAGTACTCTGAAATGGATACAGTTTTCCTGTAGCATTCAAACTGGGTAGAAATTTGGCATCTTTTTTGTGTTTATACAGAGGACCAGTTGAAGCAAAGACATGGTCCCTCACATGAACCTTTCTTTCTTTTACTTGTCTAATAGCCGGGATTTAGTAATGGGTCACAATTTGGAGAATCTGATATGTTTACGCCCTCATCTTCTCTTTATATAAGATAATTCTAAAACTCTGTTGACTAACTAGTTGTTGTTTGCAGAAAAATACTGCTATAATCCACGTGTTTACTCAACCCGTCCAGGTTGATAGTGCAGTCGTGAATTTACTAAAGGTAATAATTACAGTGCCTTTCGTCGACAAATGGTTGAACTACATTTAAGGTACTTTTTGTGATTATAATACACAGAAGTGTTTTTAGAATAACTGTAGCAAAGACAGCCCAGCAGGCACTTTTGGGAAAACAGTTGGTGAGGCATACGCAGAAGTTTACGGAATAGATGCTGACGATTGGCAACTTACACGGTATTCAGTCTCTTCGTCAGAGCTGTACCGGACATCGGCTGCTATGGTTGCTCACTGCTTCAAAGAGAAGTACTCGCGCCCGTAATAGTTGATGAAATTGTGGGATTAAAATGTATTCACTTCTAGAACTTGAATTTAATTTAATTCAATTTTTCCACTATTTATATTTAAGCATCGTAAAATAGAGAACTGCATGCCTAATAATCTGTTCATGCTGGGTATCATTTGCAATGGTTGATTTTCTGTGGATTTTGGAATTGTATATATTGTCATTGTTTTTTAATTGAAGGAGAATTCTTATAAAATTAAGGGTTTCCTCCTATATGGTTGAGTTTCGGCAATTTTTTCCCAGAAACTTCAGTGCTTGCTTCTGAACGCATTCCCTGAAGTGCTGACCTTGTCTATAAATTCAGTGTTTCTGTCACCAAAGAAACCATAACTATGCTTTTTAATTCACATAACTTTTGGAGGTAACAATTTCTGAGGACCAATAACATCCTGAAATCTTTTATTTTTTTCTTGATAGTAATCTTTTGTATATCCCAATCAGTCCTCAAAAATAATTCTTACTTTTTCTATTAAAAAACTTCTCGTCATTAGGCGAAATGTATAACGCAGAAAAAAGAATCAAAAAATCTTTCCATTTCGATTGACTTATACAATGAAACTGCGCCAAGGAATCCACTGTGATTTACACCACAATTACGTTTCGGCCAACATTATGCGAAGGCCGTTAGTCCAGGTGCTTGATTCTTTTCTCTGTTACCTATTTGCCCGCCACTCTTATAATACCATCCACAGTGACAATAAATAAACTTAATAACAAAAATGTTAACTTTCTGATGACCAATTATTTCTCTGAAGACTTCAGTAGACAATCCATATAAGATCCAGCAATAAGATGTTCTGGTTTGATCTCCAGTTTTTCCATTATAGACTCTGCTATTGCCTTCCCTTCTTCGGGCGTTTGGTCATGTCGCAGTACCACCTGTAAAAATCAATGATATCAGACCTTACGCAACAGATTTGTAGTAATTAAGATTAATTCTACTATAACCACTACTAACCGTCCTGCTTAGAAGTAACAGTTTTACAGATAGCACATTACACTTACCTGAGCAGACGTGCAGCTGCGAAAAAACTTTAAATTACTAAACTCAGCACCTCAAGCTCCACAAAAGTTCCGATCCCTTCAACATCATCAATATGGATTCGCGTCTGTTCGTGAAGAAAAAGAATACGTCTTTTCCTAACTTCGCCAAGAACACCCATTGAAAGTTCTAGTACCTTCTACAAAACAAAAACTTACGTATGAAAAAATTTAAGGGAAAATATTTTCAAGACAAATATTGATGAAAAGCAAAGTGTGGAGATAACAGCGTCGTTCAACAAAAGTGATGCGGAAATGAGAGCTGAAGTATCTCTCAATAAAAAAAAAGAACACAGAAATTACCAATTTCTGACACGAATCTACAAAACAGAATTGCAAGAATTGTTGTTGGCAAGCGTTCTGAATTTTTTGGTAGAAATGCTTGTTAACAACTGCTCTCCTACCACTAAATAGATAAAATGTTTTGAGGTTAAGCAGTGCTTTAGTGAACTAGAGTCTAGTATGTCGTACAACCACTGTGTTTTAGCTTTCTATCTATGAGTGTTTCTACAAATTTCATCTTCCCTTCCAACAATGGCAGCTATTTCCAGTTAAAGATTTCTTAATACTTTTTTTTAGTTGAGTTCCGGGGAAAAAACACTTATAGTTACTGGGTTCGTACCAACGAATGGCTGTTGTTCTCAAGAAAGTCGTTGCTTATAAAATAAGTGATTAAGAAAGAGTAGAACTGTTTGGGCTTTAAAAAAAGTTAAGAATAGACTATTGAAAATTTACTGGAAGAATTTTTTGCATAATCGCAGTTATTTCGCTCTTACGTTATTTTTTAGACAGGACGGGTATATTAATGTGCAGAAAACCTCAAAACCAGCAACTTATTGACATTACTACAGTAGAGGAGGAGTAAAACTACTGACCCTTAAATTTTCATGGTCGTTCACAGAAGCTTTGTGGAAACTTGAAAGCTTTGGTCCCTCAGTATTTGGCCTCTCGTAAAAAATTAATTCTGAAACTTCCTGAAAGGTTCGTCATTAAATAAGGAGTACAAAGACCATAAACAACAGGAAACCAACGACTTTCCTAAAGAAACTGAACAGGTGTTCTTAATAAAAGACATCTGAGATTAACTGTATAACCAACTTGCTGTAATCAGAAAACTAAACGGTGACTAACCTTCCTATTGTTAGTATTCTCTAGTCTGAGTTTCAGCCGTCCTGAAGGCGACTTAAAGAAGGTATCGTACTGTTGCAGCACAGTACAGTCCTGACCCTTACATAGTTCTCTGGCCAACTCCGTTAAACGTTTCACGTCTTCAACCTTCGCTTTGATTTCAGTATTACGCATTCTCAGCACGTCCTGGTTAGTTCTACACAAACAACAACTGTACAACACCGCAAATACACCTAGCGCGTTACTAGAACAAACATCTTATCTTCCAAAAATAGCACACGGATACAGCCCCTTTTACAACTCACCACTTATCCACCACTCCCGTTTTATTTCATTTAGCTCCTTTGAGGGTAAAGGCACTCAACTTTTCAACTGAGAAGCGGTTAAGTCGAAGCAAACACAATCACACACCTTAATCGGAAGTGACCGAAGTACATATCCGTTTAATCTCACGATCAAAGATGCGGGCAAAAAGTAAATTAGTGAATACATAAACAATTTTTCCACTACTTTATCAAACTTCTAAAAGTACGAATCATAACCGAG